AATATAAAATAAAAAAACATATATTTATTGCAGGGAAGATTGGGACGTACATAGTTCAAGGCAGTGGAGAAGGATCGACACGCCTGCGGAACAGAAAAAAGGCGAAATTGAGATCGAGAGGTGGTTGGATGAGCAGAAAGCGAGGGAAAATGAAGGGGAGAAATAGGGGGAAAACCTGAGCAGATTGACGGAAAGCTTGACGGATCTCGAGAACACGCTGGGACGCGAGGCGAGCAAGCATTTTGGGGGAGACCCTCCTTCGTTAAACTCAACCAAATACTGAAGAGTAAAAAGAAGAGAGTTGGGAAGAACACGGACAAGAACAAGAGGTTGCATAAAACTAACTAATTACAAGTGCTCAATTCCTAACATTTACGCTTTGGGAGCGTGTTTCCTTTTGGGCCTCCCATAAAATGGTTTGCTCTTCGGACTTGGCCTTTTTGAAACTAGCCTGATTATGATATCTAATAATCAATTTTAAATAATAAAATTATAAATAATTATTTTGAATATTAAATTTTAATTATTTCTTTGTTTATAAAGTCTTTGTAATTAATATAATACTTATTAAAATTCATTAATTTTTTTAAATATGATTTTAAAATTTAATTTTTTATGAACTAATTTTAATTTATTAAATTAATTTTAATTAATAATATACATAAAAATTAGTTTTAATTTATTTTAATCAAGTATTTAATCAACATCTTTATTTTTAAATACCTTTTTTGTCATATTCCATCCTTTTAAAAAGGTATGATGTTATTGCAAAACAGAAGAAGGTAAACTCAAGCTGCCCACAAGGCACAAGTTTGGTCCAGTATTCCAAGTCCATTTATTAAGAACAAGTCAGACGCCAGCCCAACACAACCGGCCCAGTAGACAGCAAAATCTTTGTTCTTGAGCATTTGGGACAACTCCATCAAACTTAAACCCTTCCCAGAATCCAAGATAACCGAGGCCGGCGAAGACACGAAAGCGTTTCTCTTTCTGCAGTTTTGCTTTCAGCTTCTACTTCGCAGCTTGGCGCCAACCCTGCACGAAAGATAAAGAGAAAGAGCAGCGATGGCGTTTGGGCAAACGCTAATATCAAGCAGAAACCTCTTATTCACCGTCCCAAGAAACCCTCACACAAACATCATCTCCCTATCTCCGACTCCCCAATACTCGTCTTTTTCCCTCACTAAACGACCGCGTTCCTTTCGAACGCTGAAATGCTCTGTCGATTACAGAGACCAAAACTACAACCTTCAAGTAACGTACCCAAAACCCCCAGAAATCCCGTGGAGCAAGGACCTTTGTAATGCGGTGCATCTCATCGGCAATGTCGGCGCCGCCGTCGAAATGAAGCACTTACCATCCGGTAAAGTCCTGGCGTGGACTCGACTTGCCGTCAAGAAATCCTCTACCGACACCACATGGTAATTTTTTTATTTGCTCTTGGGGAAAATGAAAATTCAGCCCCAAAATGTGCCTTATTACACAAATTTCTCATTTTGTTTATCTTTTTTTAAAAAAAAAAAATTGTTTAGGATTAATTTGACATTCTGGGATGAGCTGGCGAATACTGCGTATCAGCATGTAGAGAAAGGGCAACAAATATATGTTTGCGGTCGGTTGGTTTCCGATACGGTTGAAAGTGACGATGGCAAACAACAGACTTATTACAAGGTCCTCACAATTACTATAATCCTTTTATTTTTCTTTGGCTCATTGAAGATTTGAATTAAATTCTTATTGTGTTTCTTATTTTTGGTATCACATTATAGATAGTTGTCCAACAATTAAATTTTGTGGAAAGGAACTCCTCCTCTGTGGCATCATATGATCGTGGCTTTAGTATGATGCCTAGTAAGTCATATTTCCCAATTCGCTGAAACACATTCTGAACAAATAACGATTCGATTTTTTGTCTTCTTATTGTTTTTCTTTTAACATTGGGTTTAATCATGGCAGATAGGAAATTTGGCGGTAACGTTGTGAATAATATGGGCTCTATTGAGGAACTATGGCAAGCTTTTTTCGCCAATCCTACAGAATGGTGGGATAATAGGAAGAACAAGGTAGTTGTTCAGCAGTCTCATTTGAATTCAGAAGATCATTGCATCATGTCTGATGTGGTTGTGCTTTGATATGTACATATCTACCTTTAAGATTTAATGCAATTACAAGAATTAGGCTACAGGCATTGCTTTGCCGATAATGCTTTACATGCACCAAGATCATATTACAATTTTGTAAAAACTAACCTAAGAAATGTTTGAGTCAAAACAAGAATTTGCTTTCTGGACTCTGGAGTTAGATGGATGAGTTTCATCTTTCATGGTTTGATTATATTACACCAATAGAATTGAATGCTTTGCCATTGAAGTATTTTGCTAGCACTTTCTATTAATTTTTAACTCAGTGTTGTTTCATCGATGTACAGAGGAGTCCAAAATATCCAGATTTTAAGCACAAGGATACTGGAGAAGCTCTATGGATTGAAGGTAGGAATAATCCTCACTGGGTGAAGTCCCAATTGGAGATACTAGACTCCAGAATGAGCTCTTTCCAAGATGAGGATGAAAGGATGCATGCTTCAACGGCCGGTGATAATCTCATGCCTTTCTAATGGCTTATTCTACTGTGTTTGTGAAGTTGCTCTAAGTTGAGTACCATTGGCATGGTGCTCACATATTGCATGAGGAAATTTTGTAAGTCTTGATAGCCCTCACATTTATAGTCTGTTTTGTAAAACTTGCATCGTCTGCAAGTTCTAGTTTCATATGCTTTTGTTTGACCTTTTGAATTTCTGTAATATGATTAATTATGTTTGTCAGTGTAATAGATTTGTCTTTTGGTGGCCTTCCTCTGTAATTACCATGAAGAAATTGATGATTCACTAATTAATTCAATTGCTTGAACCTGGTTCTTGACTCTGATAATGTAGCACACATGGTATGCATGAGCACCAAATTGGATCTAATTTCTTTTATTGATATTGAAGAGTAGAAATAAGAACTTAATAAGTTTCTGGTTTTTTGCCCTCTTTCCTCCTCTCCCAATATCTGGGTGATAGATGTTGGAACTCTACCACATTCTACTACCCTATTCTGCCCATTGGATCCCAAGGCTGATACAAGATCTCAATCTATATTTTTTCATTCAATTTATACTTTAATGTGGCTTTGAAGTTAATTGAATTGCATCTCCCTTATATTTTCAACCTCCAGTTTAAACTCAATTCCTGTTATATATTGTCTAACTTAAATGTTCTCAACTTTTTAGTTTTCTTATTATTTTTCATCCTATTTATTTAGTATATGTATTGTGCCATCAAATTTTAGGAAATCAAATGTAGACAGTTTTAGTTCAAAGCTTGGCTTCACACCAGTCATTCCTTTTCTGGACTGGACATACTGAATTTTGATTATTCGACGTTGTTAATTTCTGTCATTTCTCCTTCAATAAACAGCAGTTCAAAATGCATCTGAGCATTTGGCTCATTGGTTGGTGCATAATCTCCTAACTAAAGAGCAGGGCTGGAATCCCTCCTCTAATTATAGGGAAAAAAAAAGCAGCAGTTCAAGATGAAATCTGTCCCCTGTCCTGGTTGTCAAGCCTGCTAGAATCCTGTTTTAGACATGCATTAGTATAAATCTGACACAGATAATATGGCTGCTCCTCTAAACTGCAGCACGTTGTTGAAATGATAGTCCGTTGAGCCAGTAACCAGTCTTAAGTAGTCTTTATATATAGGACGCTGACCAAATGAACCTTTTTAACCCCTCTCCCAAGCTGGCTTTTATTCTGTTGCTTCTTCTGTTATAAGATTGCTCTTGGTCTTCATCGCTCTCGCACTTTTGCATTACTTGATGATTTTGGGGTCTAGAGGGGTGATTGCTTTGCACTGCAGGTTCCTTTTTTCATTTATCCTGCAGGTTTTTTTTATTGTCATGGGCAGTGAGTTTTTCTGCTCTCATTGTTACTTATGAAATGTGAATGAAATCTTCTGCTTTTTTTTTTTTTAAAGAAAAAAACTACTTGATGATTTTTTATCATTTTGTTAAATTTCAATAAAATTGAATTCTGCTTGGCACAAGTCATTGAGAGTTGTCATTAGCTAGGGAAGGGACGAATTTCTGGATTATTCTTTAGCTTCTGTGCCCTACCTGCCTGCCCACGTCAGTTACTTTTGTTGCACTTTGTGAGGTTATCATTGCAAATGGGGAAAAAAAGAAGGCCTTTTATCTTTCCACAGCGATTTGTAGTCCTTGATATCTCTTGCATAAAAATTCTAATCCCGTATCCTCAAGCTAGGATTTGTTCACTCTAGTGGCTGCCATCTTGTATTGTGATGCAAATCGCACAACTCCTTCCAATCTCTGTGTTAGCAACATTTGGTATTGGGCCACGCCATTCTAAATTCTAAGCAATCTTGTTTTGACTTCTTCTTCTTCTTCTTTTGACTAATCAAGGGATTAATTGCTTTTACTTGTTTTATTAGCCAGTACGTGGTTATCTCAAGGATTTCTATTGGCTAAGCATTTCTCTCACATTGCCAACTTTCTGTTACCAGAAGAAACTCTTGCACATGTCAATTAAAAACATCCTAACGTTTTAACTAATGTTTCAAATGAAACGGAGGAGTTAAGAAATAAGCCAATTACTCTTGAAAATTATCCAACATGTAACTTATAATTACACCTTGCAATTTGAAGAACCGAGTCTGTCATTACCTGAAATGCATGTATGCTTTCTGTCATAAACTTTGGATGTAGCTAAATGAATCATTACTTCACAAGATTATCGTATTACTTGAATGCCACCACCATCCTTATATCTCAAGATTGTGGAAACTGGAAACCGATTGAGTTGGGAACAATGGTAGCTTTGATATCGGTTTTATTCAACCGTATTTGTAAGTGTCAGGTAAACCAAGTATCAATTAATTATAAAAGGATATATAGTATAGTGGACGAGTTTTGAGAGAATTTATTCTTGCTATTTGTTCATTCTGATCAAAATAATACATACGGAACTGTATTTCATGTAATCTTCTTGTTACATATGCTTATCGTGGAAAAATGATAAAGCAATATTTCCTTTTTACAGTTGGATCTCAAGTATTCTATATTCGTTTCCTGCTTTTGATTTTGTGCTATATTCTTTATAAAGAAGTATAGATCTTTGAATTAGAGGAGGCCCAAAGCCGGCAATGATTCAAGAAAACAAAAAGAAAGGGAAAATAGACGATCTTGTTAATCTCTGAAATTTTCCTCTAGCAAGTAGCCTCTCAGGGAGAGCAGATTGATCTTCCTTGCGGATTATCCTAGCCAAAGCAAATTTCTTGTAAACTTGTCTCTTCTTGTTAAACAATTTGTTCGTTGTGGGACTCATACACAGCCTAAGCCTCTGGCTTCTGATCCTTTCATGATTCTCAGCCTCTTGCAGGAGGAGATGAACATTCTGTAAACAAAAGGAAACCAAAAATATGAGTTTGTTGGTAAAATAAAGGAAATGAATATTTAAAGTTCAAGAAAAGTAGTTTTGGAGAAAGAACTTACTCCCAGGGAACATCTCCAACAAGCATCCAATCACCGTCTTTGTCTTCATAAGTAGGAGCATAATCAGATCCATTGTAGCCTTCCCTCTCTAAGTATGCACCTATTAATTGCAGATCAAAAGCAATCAGCACTACTACTACAAAATTATTAATAATCACCATAGGTTTATCGTTGGTTTGTCAAGGTTATGATTTTTACCAATGGTGAGCTTGAACATGTTTTCCAAAGCCTTGAGCAGCTCCGCGTAGCTTCTGTAAACCTTGAGATCAATCTTCCTGAGATAAGGAGCTCCATCAACGCTTACTTTCACGTACATCCCTGCCCCTTCAACCTCAATGTTCTTGGTCCGTAAACAATTTTTCCTGTAAGATCGGATTGGTGGCCATCCCACAACTTGTGCCCTGCATTAATTCATAAAACAATTTTAAATAAGATTCTATCTAAAAATAAGCCAGTAACTCATTATACCCATACCCTATAGTCTAATCTTTTGTTAACCAAACGTTTGTAAGACAAAAGGTTTCATGTGTGTGTGTGTGTGTGTATACTTACTTGGCAGGAGGGGCAGTGTCCTGGTGATCATCATTTCCAGCCTCTGTCACGCAAGAACTGCTCTTAGACCTTGACTCCTCAGAAATCATTGATGAAGATCTCTTATTGTTTCTGATACAAGGAGTCGATTGTTTCTCAGGCTCATCACTCCCGGGCAACCCCAATCTGAGCTCCGTTGCCTTGAGATTGAGATCGTTCTCGTAATTCACTCTTCTTTCCATTGCTACCAAGATATATAAATATTTCACAACCTGAAAAATAGTACTCTTCCAATATGTTTCCTATTGTTTCAAATATTGTTCGAAGGAAGAACTTGAGGATTTTGCTTTTGCAGATCTCTTTTAAAACTCTTGTTTGTGTTTGCCAAAGAAAGAAGCTTTGTAAAAGATTTACGGACGGTGTGTTGATGGGAAAAGATGTGAAGCAGGACTTGTTTTATAGGGGAGAAACCGTTTCAAGGGACAAAATCTAGGTGACTTGTTCACTCGTGCATGCATTTCATTGATGAGAAATGATAATCCCACGCACGCGATACGATACGCGCTTCTGGAATGACCAACCATCTGGGTTCCCTCGTGGGACCCCATGGGGACACTTGGAGGAAGAGCGTGGGCTGGATCGTCGACGTTCCGGGACAATGACAGATATGGCTGCCTGTCACATGTGGGACACCGTTGAGTTTGGATGCCCCAAGTGAAGGGGACAAAAAAGGAACAAGCACAGGCGATGGTAATGAAGACTGTGGACCAGAATGGACGGTTGAGATGGGGGAGGTTTGAGAGGATTCGGAGAGTGACTCAAGGATCGTTGGATCCCTAGGGGTGGGGGGTAGAGTTAGGCGCGGGGTATGGGAAGCAGCCCCATGTGAACACTGGTAAGGCCATTGCGAGTGGGATGAGGACAATGGGACCCTTCTTTAATTGATGGGCCATTTTAGGTTGTACATTACATGTGGAATGTCATGTGGCCGAGTGGTACTTGTTCGTCTACTTTTACTCCTCGGGGTTTTTCCCTTCCCCTCCAGTCTTCTCCTTGTCAGTGGGAGGGTTTAGAAATTGATTATTCGCCTGGATCTTTTCTTTGGATTTGACTCTCATTACACAAAGTTTAAGTATGCTTTGTCAAAGAGATTATGAGTTTTTTGTTGTAAATTCAAGACGGAAGAAACGTGGAATTTCCTTTTCCTTTTTAATCTCCTGAGCCCAATATAAGATGGGAAAGATGGATAGTAACGAAAAATGCATTCAAAGTCCATTTGTTTGCAGCTAGAAATTCAAACTATCCCCAACCAACCAAGAGGCATGCTAGCTCCATTCAACACTCACATGCACAAAACCAACCGTGTTGCGGCAAAGTCTTTAAGGTTAGTTAAGTCTTGTGGGGTGCATATATATATAACTGATATAAAATGCCGCTAAGTGCTGTTCACAAAATTTGAGGTGGAACAATTAATTAATGCTAATAGCTTCTCACTCGTCAATTTCAGAAGGGGATGTATAACAAAATTTCAGTGAATTAATTAAAAGCAACATGATGGCTACGTGTTTGAGTTTTTTGTCCACGAAATCTAAGCTTTTGTGGCCTCGATCGGCATTAACTGATCAAAGATGTGATAATAAGGCAGGTTTGCATGGCACCGTGCTAGCAGCTGTTAATGCTCCTGCTGCATCCGCGATTGTGAGTAGATTCTTAATCTTAAATTTAATCAATATGCGATCACTTTTCAACCTTTGCCTCTACAAATTAATATAGAAAAGGAGTTACATTGCTTAGAAACGCGAGTTTCCTTTGCTCTTTTCTGGCATGAAATTGATGTAAAAATCAGTTTGCAAATACTACTTCATTTGGAATAGGATTTGTCAATCGAACCAGGGACAAGATTTTGCCTCACAGCCGATTGCGCTCTATTATAATTTTTAGAAAGCTGGCACACACAGATACTGGAAATTAGAAAATAACAAAGTCTGGCAATTGGCATGACGAAGAGAAGACAATCATGAGTACCAAGAGGATTCCAAATAAGTTGTGCTTCATTTATGTAGAGACCTTGATCTGCTTTTCTTGTCTGTGAAGTTTGCTCCAACTCAACCTCCCCCACCTAATGTATAATAATTCCAGGTATCAATCACAACTAACTATAAAGTTTTGGGTTTTATATTTAAAATTCGAATGTTGAAAAAAGAGGAAATTATAAGATAAGGAAAAAATATTTATTGACTTATAACCCAAATCTAATTTACTGTAAAAGTAGAAAAGTCTAACCTTACTTTTTATGGGCGGGAAATGGAGCTTACTAATGTACCAGGCTGCTGCAGCTTTGTGCGTTTTGAAGCAAAATTTGAAGAGAAGCAAACTCTTTTTCCAGCACCTGTAGAAGTGTTCCCCAATACAGATGGCTGAGAAAGTGGGCAGCCCAAGTTTTGAAATCTTCTCAACAGCCTTGTTGGGTATGGGGCAGCTTTGTTTGCTGGTGCTAATGTACTGAGACCCAGTTCCTTTAGGCTACCAAAACATATCCACAAAGCTGCACCACATCAAAAATACAACTCACATGGATAGGAGATGGCATGAGAAAAAAGAGCAACGGACAAACTGATAGGTGTCACATTTGAATTTCGAGCTACCATTGTGATCGAATTTTGCCTTGTTATCGCATTCACAACTCAGTTATCTTTGGAATTGCTTTCCAAGGACCACAGACAGAGAAAGGGTCCACATCCTTTCTAACCCCCAAACACGTTTGGATTAGTTTTTTAAGTGTCTGTCTATGCCAATGCTGACTTCATCCCATCAGCTTATACCCCACAACATCACATTATGTAGTGTAACCCCTTTACTGATTGTATTGTTGCCCCAATAATTTTTCAATATTAATTAAACACAAAATCCTTAGGACTGGAAAAAAAAATTCAACATCCTAAAAACCTAATCACCATCGTCCGTTAACTAGGTACAGTTACTGAAATACTTCATCTCTCTTCTTTCTAACGAATAGTAGTCCAAGACAGTGCGGACACTTGACCACCGCCAACTTCCGGCCTTTTCAGATTATACCAAGCTTCTGTTGATATATAATATAATGTAATATAATTCCCTCCTTCGCTTTTCCCATCCAAATCAAACTTCAAATGTAGTGTCGGATAAGCATAAGGTAGCAACCTAGCAGCTTTATGCCGCAATAAATGCAGTGAAAGTGCGAAGCTCTCGTATCATTGAACCACACGTGTGGTGTCTTAATTGCTGATGGTGATAGTAAGGCCACCGCGCACACGTGGTGGCGGAGAGCTTGAAATTTTGGACTCTGAGATGGAGAAGAAGCCCAAAAGCCATTAAGGAGAGCAGCCCCCACGCTTATAGTGTTGCTGTGCCAGTGATTATTGGGTTTGGCCTTTGCTTCCCATGCGCATCAACCATCTTATGCCATCATCACCGTTTTGCATGCATGCATGCATGCATCAGCCCCATCTTTCATAGTTAAACTTTCTGTTGTTTATATTATCTTAGAAAACCAGATATGCCTAAATGGAGAAAAATACAAATTTATGGCTAATCAAACCAAATTAATAACAACCTTCTTAAGAAGCTTGGTCGTTCGTAGCGGTGGTTGAAATACAGGAGTAGTCATCACTCCAAAAGCTTGACTTGCACACGTGAATGTGGGTACTAATTATGGACATCCAGACGTGGGACCCACATGTTGAAGAGTACTAATAATAGCAGGGACTGGGCCATTATTCTTGCTCAGATTGGGCCCAAACTTGCACTTTCACAGCTCCGCCATGGGGTGTTGTGGTTTCGGCCCCTTGGTTGACGAGTTTAATCTGGCTGGCCCATTTTGGCACCCTAAAGGTGAGACAGGATATCCGGCAGCACCAAAATCCATATCCAATTACTACTTCTTGGCGTGATTCTCTTGCGAAGGAGATCACCCCATTGCCTTTTAATTCGATTTTATCTACAAAAATTTTTCAACGGTCATACAAGGGTGGCTCTTTTCTCATCTTCTCTTGGCATGGTTGGCCACAAGCATCGCCACAAGTTTCAGCATTCTATCTTTTATGAATCCTTAATTCTGCTGCTTCCCATAACTTGGAAGTCTAATGAACAAGAATGAAAGGACGGATCCTTCATGAAGACTCCAGGTTCAAAGAAATTAAGACTTAGTCAATGTAACTTTGTTGATTAATTTATAACATAACTCTAGGGTCATGTCCCCATGGACCGGCCGCATTAAATATATAGGACAATACGAAAACCACAATAGCAATTGCATGGATTGACACATATATATATGCTTGCTTACTTACGACTCGAAAATTATTAATTTTCATGCTACGTATTTATACATGAAACATGCACATAATAAGCCATACAAGAAAGGAAAAAAAAATGCAAAGCATGCAATATCTTTATTTGCAGAAAAAGAAAATATGACGATTTATTTCTGCCTTGGTTTTTCTAATAGATAGAGGGAAAATGAAAAATTTTTCCATATAATCCAACAACAAATCAAAGTGTTTCAAGGTTTGTTGGCTGTTGATTGATTCGAACAAAACTCTCATTTGTTGCTGTTGGAAGGAGCTTTAGCATGCATACCTAGAAAAGTGAATGCGCCACTTGAGTTTGTCACTCTTTGGAAGAATACATTGCATTTGAACCAATTTCATTCCTTTTCCCATACCTTCCATATCTATCAGTAATCATTTCTAGCCATATATCTATATATATGTATGTAGCTATTAAACAGTTTTAATTTCTTTCTTTTTTCAAAGCTTCAATATCTCCATCGGATATATAGATTAGTTACAGTACATGTCAAATTAATGATCAAACTTGCAATTAAGTTGATAAAAAGAGGATAGTTTAATCCCTCAAATCTTCACTAAAAGTAGCATCTAAGATGTGAACATGCGATCTTTCATTGTCATAAGTGCAAGCACAATCGCACTTTTTGTAGAAAAGATTCACATATCATTGTTAATTAGGATCTGTTCTTAAAGCATTGAAGTGAGATTATATTAAGTGCAATTGAAAGAATCAATAACAATAAAACAAAAGTGTAGCATTTCCGGCATAGAAGGCACAGAGCAAAAAGATTCTCGCATGCACTAGTTTTTAACCATTTTCAGCTCTTTGGGTTCTTTCTAACCCTGCCCTCAATACCATTTGACTCCATCTTTTTTTATTTTTTTTAATTTTTAATTAATATCAATGAACATAACCACCGCCCAGTAGGGAATAAAATAACAGTATCTCTGGTCAATAATGATTGAATTATTATTTTATCCAGCACAAAAGAAATATGAAAAAGGAAATGATCATTTGGTTTTATTGATGATCTATACAAAGGGGATGACTGACTACTTTCAGATGGGCACAATGCTGGAACCTACCTCTGATTCTTTGTAGGGATCGAAGCCAAGTGTCAAAATTTTGGTACTCAAAAACTGTAGATACTCCTTGTAGAATTGAAGATCTCTCTACCGAACGGACAGAGATATTCCATTACTAAGAGGTTTTGGAAGGAATTTAGGGTACTTAGAAACATTCAACAAAATTCGAATACAACTAGTAAAAGATTAAATTCAGGTAATTAGATTATTTTTGTTATAATCGTTTACGTAGGAATTTCCTAGAAGAAATCTGATCTAATTAAGTTTCGTCTGTTAATAACATAATAATGTATATATTGATTATTATTGACTGCTAATTAATACATAATTAAGGCTGTGGCTAATGTTATAGCTTAATTATACTAAAAAAAATATTAAAATAAAAAGAAGGGGAAGGGCAGTGGGATGCCCTGCAGCGGCGCACATGGGATAGGGTTTGAGATATAGGCGACACACAACCACACAAGCAAACAAGTTCACATGGCCACTTTGTGGGTCCCTTAAATTACCCCCCTCCAATGAATCTCATCACATGCATTTTCTTACACTTGGGTCCCACTTTCTCAGCCAACCGTAGAGATTTAAAAAAACAAAAAAAACAAAGGCAAACCCTATTCTATTTGGATTTTCTTTATTTATTTATTGTTTAGAGTTTAAACCATGAAATCATGCCGAAGGCAATGGAGGATCGTATTCATACTAGTGTATATATATTATTACTATATCGTTTTAAAAGGAGCGCGGGGAAAACTAACTTGAATTAATTAATAATAATAAGGATTCACTACTTGGAAAGGTTAAAGAGGTGATTATGATATGAAAAAGGTGCTGTCGATGATTAAAAAGCTGCAACTTTACTTATTATCTAGAAAAGATATGAATGATTACATTGATTAATGTAACTTGTACCACTTTTCTTGGACTAATCAAGATTTTTCTTTAGTTCAAGCCATACTTAGCATCATCTTACGGTTTTAGATTGAGTAAACGTTAAAAAGTAACAATGTAACAGTTGGATGTTAAAATACATATAGGGAATAGTAGTAGATTTTTCTCAAGTATTCTCGGGATCTACATGATTATAAAAGGTTTAAAGAATTAAGGAATATGATTATTTTAATTATTAAAACAAGATTAATTACTTGCGGTGCTTTGACTGTAATCAAGAAACTAATTTTGCAGTTAAATTACTGAATGATGGTACCTAAAATATCTTGGACGAAAAAAAAAAATCCATAATTTCCTCAATATGCAAGTTCCGATATAGTGGGTTGCATTTATGAGAAGTGATCGTGGCCTCCATGTGTACATGCAATTTGAGACCACAACATCCATCATAATAGAGATGATGGAAACTCAGACTGGTTTTGTGCATGCCATAGTAACGTCCAGTTGAGTGTGCCCTGTCAAATTATTGCTCCTTGTTTCTCCTTTTGCACCCACATTTCCTTTCCAAAGCACACACTAGTTAAAGCCACACCCCAACATACACTTTTTCTTTGTCATCTTCATTTCTGAGCACTTTGGTCATACATACGGTGTTGTATATGGAATAATGTAAAATACATGCGTGAAAATGCAATTGAGGTTGGGGAACACAGGCTATATATCCACATTTGTGTGTATGTACTATAAGTTATTTGGTCATTTTATTGATAAAATGCATAAAGAATTTCAAAAATGTTTGTATTACCTCTCTTTAAAAAAGATTAAAGTCTAAGTTTCACTCTTTCGCTTTCTCTTAAAATACTTTTGTTATATTTAAAATTAAAATATAATTAATGAACGATACGTTTTGATTAACAAAAAGAAGATTATATAAAAAATTAAAACACTAATAATTTTCTCCATGAAAAATTAATGGACAAGGAAAAAAATGGGGTAGGTCAAAATCCATGATTGTTTGCTTATCAAGGCTCTCTTAAGCAATACTTATTACTGAGTTAGTTCAATCAATTTTGCTTTATTTTAGTAAGCCTTTTACTTACTTATAATCATTCAAATGAATCTTTTTCTACTTACTGATTGAAAATTACTACCATCCCCAAGTCTTAATTAAGGTAATTTTTAGAAAAAAAAAAAAAAAACAAAGGTGGCCCAACCCCAAGTTAAAATGGGGGGAGCAGCCAACGAGGGTTGTCTACTCTCTCTCTCTACACACAATCATAGGACGCTAACGTCACCTTGTCGTCACCTATCCCAGCAAGTTAGGATAATCCAGCTCACAGGTCATGCCACGTGTCCATATCCCAGTTTATCAAAAAGAGAAACCGACAATGCACCCCCCCGTATATTAATTCCCTCTCAGTGCCCAACAGTCCCCTCTTCTTTGCCAACGTCGCTATTACTCTCACTACATCTCAAACCCCTTTGTTTTTACAACCTTTTTTCTCTTCTTTATTTTTTCACTTTCATTTCAAAGCACCAAACCAACTCGAAAACCACAAAGCCAAAGCCTAGCTACACAAAACTACAAAAAAAGATTAGAGAGAGAAAAGCTATGGAAGTTGGGCTGAAGTTGGGGAAAGGAGGAGGAGATGTTGGTGGCGAGAAGGAGAAAATGGGATTTGAAGAGACTGAGCTGAGGCTAGGGTTGCCTGGGAATATTAGAGCAGGAGAAGGAGAGGTTGCAAGGAAGAGAGGCTTCTCTGAGACAGTTGATTTGAAGCTTAACCTTTCCTCAAAAGAAAGCTCTGGGGTGGATCCAAATGAGAAGGAGAAGAATCTTCTCCCTTGTGCCACTGATCCTGCGAAGCCTCCTGCCAAGTAAGTTGCATGATTTATTTTTTGTTTTGGGTTCTTCTTCTTCTTATTATTATGTTCTTTTTTTTAAAAAAAAAAAAATCTTGTTTCCTTTAGTTTGTCTGGAAATATGTTGATGCATATAATTGTAGGATGATTAGGCTTATGGGGTGCTAAAGTTAAGCATATTTTAACATAAGAAAAGAGGAGTTTGGGCAATTAGAGTTTTGATGTTATGTTAGTCATGAAGAAGCTGGATCTTGATGCAAATTAATCATCCAGAAAAGAAAATAAAGAATAAGGTGGAAAGACATCAATTATCATTTAAATTTGTGGAGCTTCTACTACCTGAAAATACACTAGTCCATTGTGAAGCTTAGATTTTTACACTAATTTTTTCATTTCAAAATGAGATGAGGTTGGTTATTATATGGAAGTACAAAAAGAATGAGAGATGCGTTTCAAATTATTCTCCTCTATTCAATTCCCTAGGAATATTATTTAAGAACTTAATTATATATGGCCGGAATATATATATATATTCAATCAATGGCATATTCCATCCAATTAGTTTCTACAATAGGCTCCTAATTGCTAACAAGCATTTCACGCAAAATTTGCTATTTTCTTAGGACTTTTTATATTTTCCGTTCAAAGCATGCAAATTTGTCCGGACTTGAAAATTTTTTAGTAAATGATATAATTAAATAATAATTAGAGTGGAGAGATATATATATATATATATAATAAATTCAAAACCAAAATTCGTTTTCCTCAAAAAAAAAAACTGAAGATTTACTTACTTAATATCCAAATATAAACATAGAGAAATTAAGATATTACTACCTAAGGTTTCATAGATCCGTATAGAGTTATCATTCTTGCTCATCAAAGAATATATATCATCCAATTAAATTTTCCCTCAATATTTTAATTATTTTTAGCTTCATACTCTAGTTTCCAAATGATGAAACTGTAAATCGAAGGTGAAAGTTATTTAATAAAAGTTCATGACATATGACTTTAGGGCGCAGGTTGTGGGTTGGCCGCCAGTCCGGTCATTCCGGAAGAACATGTTAGCCACCCAAAAGAGCAGCAGCGAGGAGAGTGAGAAAGGCGGTGCAGGGAACGCCGCCTTTGTGAAGGTCAGCATGGACGGTGCACCTTACCTCCGCAAGGTGGACTTGAGGATGTACAAAACTTACCAGGAACTTTCGGATGCCCTGGCCAAAATGTTCAGTTCTTTCACTATTGGTACGTACTACGTAACCCGCTTTAAATCAAGAGCAACTTTTCCTTTTCTTTTCTTTTCTTTTATTGTTTAATGTTATGATTTTTATTGATATAATGAAATGTGTGTTGAATGAAGGAAATTGTGGATCCCAAGGAATGAAGGATTTCATGAATGAGAGCAGGCTTATGGATCTCCTTAATGGTTCGGATTATGTTCCTACCTATGAGGACAAGGATGGTGACTGGATGCTTGTTGGTGATGTCCCATGGGAGTAAGTTCCCTTCCATCATTAATTCACAGCTCTTCACTGTTTTCCACTTTGGAGCTTTTCAGTCACATAAATAATTACTATATATATATATCTATATATATATATATAGTTGGAGGGCAACAATGATTAACAACTTTTACAAAATTTACATAAATGAACAAAACTAATCTTCTGTTTCCTTTTAATTTTGAATATCAGGATGTTTGTTGAATCATGCAAGAGGTTGCGCATAATGAAAGGAACAGAGGCAATTGGGCTTGGTTAGTAGTACGATTTCCTATTCACTTAGAATTAATTAAACAAAAACCCTTTTTTTACCTAATTTTATTTAATTAGTATTTTGGTCGATTAATTTTAACAAAAAAAATGGTAAAAAAATGTTGGTGGATTTCAGCACCAAGAGCCATGGAGAAATGCAAGAACAGAAACTGAAGTTGGTAGCTGTTATTAGCGCAACCTGCTCCTTTGATCTTGTGGTCGCTGCAGCTATCAAAACAATGATAAGAAGCAAAGAGCGAGCAGATGGATTGAGCAGGTTGACTACTATATTATTATTATGATTAGGGTGCTTTTGTGCTAAGAGTTGATATGTAAAATTAATGTGAGATTCCACTACTTAAGTATTTGTTATGGACAAAAACAATAATGAATATGATCTTACTGTACGTCGCAAGACATGGCCTGTCTTTGCTTGTGTTTAATAGTATTAAAACACTCACTGTAATAATGTATCTGTTTGTAGTTATTATTACTTGTTGTGTTCCTTAAATTTTGTTTTTCACTTAACGAGAGATTGTTTTCCAAGAGGCATCGTCCAGTTGAATGGTTGAGTTAAGAAAAAGGGCAATTTATTTACTGGGGGGAAAACAATGGTTTGTGTCTGAGAGCGAGATGAAGCAGCAATGGGCATGGGGAGTTGGGGACTGGAGAATGGTTTTCATAAAGCATTTGACCTGAGACAGTGAGTCAACAATGGCGATTGTCATGGCGGTTGCTGCCCATATATATTAATTATATTTTGCAACATGGGCTTTGTACAAATTGATCAGTTGGATCAAGTACTGGTCTTTCTCTGTCTCTCGTATCTTGGATCTGACACCTCTGCTGAAATCCGCGGATGGAAATTTGTGAATAATTTAACAACTTGTTGGGGATGGGAATGGGGAAGAATTCTCGGGAACAACTGCCACCATCGTCAAAGTTCCTTCGACTTTTTTAAATAAATAATTTGTTCATAATAAATTCATAATTTTGTCTCCTTTTTATCCTGCAAGTCGCATGCCTAGGCCCCAATATATATACGAGACTTAAATTGATCCAGCAATCTTGTTGCAACTCTTGGCAACATTTTACTTTGTTTCTTTTTAATTTCCACTCAACTGCTTTATCTTGTATTCCTTTGTTGGGTTTATAGCCTAAACGGAAATTGCCCCACTTAATTGCTTATATTAATATCATCGACCCTTCTTTCAAATAATCTCAAGAGTCGGAGACTACAAAGGAACCGGAAGCAAGAGCAGCAGCAACGGGGGAAGAAGCCAAGCTGAAGCTAGAGATAAGGCGTTGATGGAGATACAAGGGACCTTGTTGCCAGAGTCAGCCAGCCCCATTTTTCTTTTCTTTTCTTTTCAAGTGAAAGTGAGAGAAAATAGTTGGATTATAAATTTTATTCCATATTTTCCTTAACAATTTCTTTTATGAAAAAGTTGTAACATGAACATATCTAAAAATTATAAACAATTAATTCAATTAATTTTTTTTAAATTTAATTGAATCAATAAAAATAAAAGTTTAATAAAACCAACTCAATTAAATAAATGCAATCGAGTTTTGACTTATTTGATAGATGCTTAATTTTTATATAAAAAAGAAAATTCGAATCTCTTTTCTCTCAATTGAAAAAAAAACCAATTAGATAAATTAATTCAAATAATAATCAAGTAAATCGAAATTTTTTATAATATTATTATAATTATATAGTAAATAATTAATGATTTATATGCACAATGATTGATTGAATTAACCAAAGAAATTATTGTCCAAATCAAAATTGGTAATCCTATTTATTTTCAAATTAATGAAATAAACAAGTTCATATATATAACCATATTTATTGCATATTTATTAATTCAATTTTAATTAAAAATTGCTCTACCGTAAATAAAAACTTTGATATTTGACTTAAGAGTACTCATTTAGCGTTTGGAGATACAATCTTGTTTGCACTATTTGTAGAAAGTCTTTGAACATCAACTTCCTTCTTTTACTCATTAGTTGATGTATAATCTCTCTACCTAAAGAGCAAAGATCAAATTTCCTTGACAAGTTGTTTCTCTTTAATTATTCATGGCCTAAAAGAGATGAAAACGTTCATTGCCTACATAATTTTATCAAACCTTAATGTGGTGTATCTGCAAAAGACAAACTACAGTAAAATGGTTTTGTTCCATATGTATCGTCATTCAACCCAATGAGCAATGAACAAATAAGTGTTTTCCATTAATCTCATTGACTTCTACAATCTGCAGAAATTGTATTATTGCAGTCATCTTTCCTACTGGATTCAACATTTACATTGCAATTCATCCATTACTAGCTGAAAATTTTCATCTGGTTTGAAATTTACTTCAACCATTTACCTTCACAAGTCAATAGACCTGATTACCAGGTCTGCATTTTTCTTTGACGTCATTATAAGTTCCGCATTTGGTCGATCATTATAGTCAATCTGCATGATAGAGGAAGGATTTAAAAAACAAAAGAGAAAAACCAATTTATCCAGAGGCTTATAGAACTTTTCAGCTCACAGAAAGTAAGCTTACCCGCAATTGAGCAACATCATGGGGCTTTCCTGTTACAGAACAGGGGAACAAAATCAAAATGCAACGTCTTTTATATGTAAAGGTGCCTGTTTAAGAAATTAAAATGGATCCATTACCTGTTGAAATATGCCTTTTTAAAACTCGTTGCATTGCTGTGTCAAGGTCAACATCAATGAACCTTCAACATAAAAGCAAAATGTAGAATAAAGGCCGTTGCAGCATCGCAGAATCAAACCAGACTTTTCATATGATTGTCTCAAAGGCAGAAGTTTCATATATAATAAGTCTAAAGCAGGCATGCAGCTGTCCAACTATGCCTTTCTAAAACTTGCTACATAGCCGCGTCAAGGTCAACATAAATGAAACTTGAACATAAAGCAACATGTAGAATAAAGGCCATTGCATCATAGCAGAAATCAAAATAGACTTTTCATATGATCATCTCAAAGGCAGAAATTTCATATACCATTTCTCATCAAATATAGACGATATCTCTTTCCAAACCCCCTCTTCCAACAACAGATAATTACCTTCTACTATGATCAACTTATGCCTGCAAAGAGGACAAGAAATATGTTTTATTTATTGATCAATCATAAACTAAAACTCAACCTATTGACGGCTGCAAGCCTGCAACTACATTTGGAAACTAATTCATACCAACATGAAAATAACCAAAGAAAGTGAGCAAAGAGCGAAATACACATTACACAAGATCAACATGAATTAAATCTTGGGATAACTTCACATTCTCAACTCAGCCTGCTAAAGTCATTTTATTTCCAACTTCAAAATTTCCAATCTCCAATTAATCCTTTTATCTGAAAATGATCAGTGGTCAAATTAGATGCTTAAATCTTATATTCCATTCACTTTTAGCCTTCCAAATTCTCAACAAAAAGAAAACAACAAACAAAGAAAGAAGCAAAATGTCTTCTTATACACATCCAGTACTTTCTAAATACCATTATTTTACATTCTAGATCACTTAGTCTATCAAACATTGAGAAGATTCTGATCTGAATACAAGAAAAGACGTGAATCACTTACTGAAGGCTCACAAAGATATCATCTTCAATAGGATCTCCAACACCATGATCAAATGATGGTGCATAAACAGACCCCTGAGAAATTTTTTTTCTGATTAGAATACAAATTGCAGTTGTTGCAGACTTAAATGAAAAAAACTCCATATATCTCCAAATACAAATTGCCTTCTTTTCAAGCCAAATCAAATGTTTGTTGAGTTAAAGCACCAATAGCTACCAACCTGATCCCTTAGATTATTCAGGCAATTAAGCAGTAGCATGGGGTCAAAAGTCCATGGAGCTGATTCATCAATGGAATGATCATCAATTTAATTTCTAACATAGTGAAATACTAATGAAAGGATCATCAATTTAATTTCTAACAAAGTGAGATACTAATGAATGTTAAACACAGAAGCTCACCTCCCCTTCTTGCATGTGCTTCTTCTGGATTCTAAAATGAAGTTACACCAGTTAGAATCACAAACATCCAAGAAAGTTTCAACTATGACACTGAAAAGTCATGGATGGAGGAAGCTTAACCTCCATTGCATCCAGCTGGGAACGATATAGATGGAACCCATCCATTGGAATAACTATAGCCACATCTGGAGGCTTAACTTGAGAATCAAAAGATCGAGCCTTTTGGGGCCATAACTTGTTTATACGCTGCATAACTTCAACAGCTAGAGTACTTTTCCCAGCACCAGGAGGGCCAGCTAAACCAACAATATGCCTGCATGATCTCCAAGCATTAGATTTAATTAGAGGAGTCACAGCAAAAGTTGCAGAGAACTGGAATAAGACTAAAAAGAAACAACAGGAGTGCCATAAGGAGGCAGTAGGGAAGCATGAGAAAAAGTAAGGCCTCCAAAAGTGCATGAACAGTACCAAAAAGAAATTATATAAGCAAAGAATGTGCTACTCTATTGCAACTGAACTTCTTTTGAGACAATAGTATTATGCATACATTTTTCTAAATGGTACATATGACGCAAGTCTTGCCACAAAGAGAATAGAATATGAGCTCATACTGTAACTGGCACTGTTGTTGCTTCATTTGGAGTAGAAGTATTTAATATTATAGAACAGATATTTACATATGGGTGCAAGATCCTTCAACTTGAATACAGGCCACATCAACAAACAGCACTGACCACTCATTTAAGATACCAAAGCATAAATTATTCCTAGATGCAAAACCTAGAACTTACTTTGCATTGGGATTTGACGCTACTGCTGGTGTAGGAAGCAAACGTTCAGCCAAAGTATCAAAGATCTCATCCATGGAACTTCAAATAAAAAATAAGTAAAATTATCATAAATAAGAACTGTAGAGGATAAAAAGAATAAATAAAAAAACAAGTAAAATTGCTTAAAGACCAGATAGCATACATGACCATATTTTTCCCTATAACCAATGAGTAAGAGAGATGTAAAATCAGTAAAGAAATTAAAAAAGAACTTTTCTCAACTCATCAACAATTGAAAGCAATAAAAACAACTAACCAGTCACTGCTGGTGCAAATGGGATTTAGATGAAATTCAAATAATCGGCAAAATTGACTTCAAAACAAGCCTTTCGATAACCTTAGGGATACAATGAAATTAAGGTCTAACTTCGTCTTTGCACTTTACAAGATAGACCGCTAAATACATCCGAGAATTTGCAAAATTGTTCAAACTTAGAGCCTACTTTCTACAACAAGTAGATTATAAGGAATTTAGATTCTTTTGATAAATGATGAAAACTCGAGTGTTTATGTTTATTTTCAGACCATAACACCTCTATCTCTATTGATTTTTCAGCTCTTATCTTATTTGTTTATGATATGTCAAAAAGGTTGTCAGCAATTTCTTTATATAGGCTTGCAAGTGTCTCTTATCAAGGACACAACCCTTTCATCAAAGCATCTCTTTGTATAAAAGATATCTTTGCATTTTGTAAGATACAAACCTATCATTGGATAAAGGTATTGTTTCAATAATCACCTCATGAAAAAACAACTCTTTATTCTGTAAGACATAACATTCGAAATACAATATAAAAAGATAACTTTTCTTATCTAAACTTTTCAATTGTATTGTTTTTCCAATTGTCTCATAACTTTTGGATTTAAAAATATTTTTTCAATATGTCACTTTACCAAGAGACATAACCATTCACCACACTATGTTACTCTATGTGACACAACCTTCGAGCTATGACAGCTTTCCATTATGTGAGACAATCTTTTATTTTGAAAATACACCAACAATAACTGCATTTCATATCCAAAACTCCAAATAAGAAAAGCATAAATATATCAGATGTACCATGTCTAGCGAGTTAAGCTACATCAATGAAGTCAATTTTTATAAGAAAAAGTTTCCCATCTGATTCTGTATCAATATGATAGACTAATGATATCGTTGTCAATAACTTTAATTCTCTAATAAAAGAGAACATTGCCCCCTTATGATCTATTTTTATGTAAAAAAACAGGGATTGACATCCTTATAAAGATTCTACCAAAATTGCCATAAAATATCCATAAAGGAAGAATAATGAGTGGCTTGAGTAGAAACAGAAATTGATTTTGCAGCTGAATATGCTTCTATCAACATGTGACAAAAGCACCAAAGAGAGAGCAATCGACCATGGGAGTGTGGTAAAGTAGAGCAATTTGGGATAAACAATATTTTAATCGACAGACATTTTAAACCCAAACATGAAGAGATATTAATAGAGCATCAACAACATAAGCAACTTCATCCTATTAAAACGATACATGATGTAAACAATGGAGTGAGACTATTATTCAATGATTCCCAAATGTTCAGATCATCTTTCCAATGTATAAAGATCCAATACCTGGCCTCCAAAACCGGAAGTTCTCTCCGTTGACAGCATATAAGCTGAAGACATTAAGTATCAAAGCAAAGTAAATTACATAGGAAGCGGGGGAGAGGGAATTATAAAGAATTGAAAGATAGCAATAAGAAATTTAACCTTCAATGGGTTCTCCTTCTGAACAAGAGAACTGTACCGGCCTAATAAAGGCTGTGCAGTTCTTGAATTCAAAGAAATGGACACCAGATGTTGATTCCATGAAGAAAGCTTAACTCTTTTGAACAACAAAGACTCTGCACAATAATAAATATACTCATTGAAGATGCAGGATCTTTTAGTAAAACAAGCAAAAAAAAAGGCAAATTGATCAAAGCAATTCCATAAGATAGAAGGATCGTAGTACGAAGTACAAACACGATTTTAGGAGAAAAGGAACTGGGAACCTTTCGAAGAAGAGAAAAAGGGTCTTGGATTCCTGGAAATCGAAGAAATCTCCATTACCGAACCGTCCAACAGAGAGGGAGAGTCTAGAAAGGTTGGACGGAATGATTCAGGAACCTGAAATGGCTTGCCTTCTTTTTTCCGGGTAAATCAGTAAACTGAGTAAGAACCCACGGGGCAATGGACCTCTCAAACAGTTAACGAGCGCAAGACACGTGCTAGTTTGGAGTAATTCGATCAAGTTGCTGTCTGCGCAATGGCGTCGTTGCCTTCTCTTTTTTGTCTCGCGTTTCAGTAATGCCGTTAAGGAACACCGAACGCCCCTTCATTTTCCAACTTATCTTTGAAAATTATTACAATTAGATAGTGTGCGTAAAACATATTTGGATTTTTATTTAACACCGATAACTTTACAAGCCGGCTTAAAAATTTATATATATCCATTTAGATATATTTTAAAAATAATATTATATTATTTAATTATTAAATAATATAAATAAATTTTAAAATAAAATATTTAAATACTTTGTATTTTGATTAAAATTATACAAAATTCATCGATTTGAGAACTAAATACTTCATTTAAAAAAATATTTTTCATTAAACTCATAAATTTAACTGTTAATTAATTGTTAAGATTTTTGTTAATTTATTGATATGATAATATTTTTTAAATTATTTTATCTTCGAACATATCAAAAATTGTAATATTATATAAATTTTGATTTTTGATTTTAATTTTTTTAAAAAAAAAACTTACTTCCGAAGCTAGCCAAATCCGCACTCCACTAGGTAGCACTATTTGAAGTTTTCTAGATTCGATCGAATCTAACTTGGAAGATCATTTAAAAAAATAAAAAATAAAAAAATATATATATACCCTACTCCAAACACAATCCCAAACATCTACCTCCGGTAGCCAAACCCAATATTTCAAGAAAAAAGAATACCCAAAATGTTCTCTTAATAGAGAAGGACTATACCAAAACTACCCACATGCTATCCAGAAAAGCCTCCAAGGTTGGCATTACAAACCATGGGATTTGCAAAAATCCAAACTTTTTACCAAAACATTTTGATTCAAACAGGGTCACTCTTTTAAACAATATGCTGATCCAAAAGATCCAACTCTTATCACTCACTCAACGGCACAAATTTTAAAAGTTTAAAGCCGATTGATTGGGGAAAATTTAAATCTTTCTAAAAGATTCTCTGCAAACTTTTCAACACAAATTAACCATGTGCCTATTTTCAATTACTGGAGTACAGCAGGCATGGTTCAATACTTTTTGTATAAACATAAAAATCATCGACATTCATGGTTGATGTTTTTCAAATACGGCAACAAATACAAATTTCCAAATTGGTTTTCCCACTGGTGGAATTGGTTTGGACCCCTAAGAGAAATCCTTCCACCAAAAATTGAGGAAATTTATGAAAAATTTTCAAAATGTTTCAAACCAGAAGAAGACCAAGCAACTTTGCACACATCAATACACTTCTTCTCAAAATTAACAATCTCATGGATCACATCCTGGGATTATGCTTATGATAATGATATTCATACTGGCGCCCCTATCGTCATCAGAATATTCAAAACCAAGTGGTGGTACAGAGTTATGAAAGAAATACAATCCACAATACTTGTCTCATGGTTTCAAAAAGAATCCAAATCTCTGCAAAGGAATAGAAGCCTCCATGAAATGCCAGATTTCTACAAGCTAAGTCAAATGCAGTGCCAGACCTAGCCCAAGCTACATCAAAATCCGAATACAAGAAGATCAGGCAAAAATGTTAAGTTCTCTTGGTCCGAATAAGAAAGATGAAGATGAAGACTCAGCCTCATCCAGAGCAACCACCAGACTATCCCAAGATGAAGATTACATTCCTCCTAGAAGACAGAGGAAAGAAAAGGGATAAGCCCACAGCTTCAATCACAAAAGACAAAGCGGCAAACAACTCGGCCTCAAAAGCAAAAGACAGCTCAACAAAACCAAAAAGAAGAGAAAGTGGCAGACAAAAGCAGCTCAAAAGAAACAAAAGATAAAGCGGCAAGACAAAAGCAGCTCAAAAGAAACAAAAGACAAAGTGGCAGATAAAGCGGCAGACAAAAGCAGCTCAAAAGAAACAAACAAAAATGAAATGCACCGAACTCAAAATGAAATGCACCGACAAATGTAAGGAAAATGAAGAGGAAATGAGAAAGAGAAAGGATCCTCTATAAAAAGAGGAAGAAACGGAGAAGGAAGGCAGGTTTTGAGGAAAAGGAGAAAATTCCGGAGAACTGTTTTCTTATCGGAAAATCTCTTGTATTCCAATATTCAAATGTATCTTTTGAAAATCAATTACCAAATCAAATATTAGTTCTTCAAGTTTTAACAAAATCAATTCCCAATTATCTCATCTTCTGTGTTACTTTATTTTTAGTGAATATCCGCTTCGGATTCCTGGTGTACTTTTGGTATCAGAGCCAAAGCGGTTCAAGAGGTATTTACTTCTAAACAAAACTTTTGGATTTTATTTTCTTATCTGAGTTCTGGTTTTAAAGACATTGCATGCATATTGTGTTGATTCTTGCTGAGTCCTTGAGAAACAATCCAATTGAAGCCTAGGTTTGGCGTTGCTAGGATATATTTCTCCCTGTAGGCAGTATCCTCACAATTCATCTGCGTCTTAGAAACCCCCTATGTAAGAAAAGAAAATAAATCTCCAAAATGTTTCCGTTTCTAAGAAACACCTCCTGTTCCAGTTCTGGTTCTAGTATTCAAAACCCAGAAATCAACGAGGAAAATATTCATTATGAAAATATAATTCAAGAAATAGATAATTGGGCCAGTATGAATATCATTATCATAAGCATAATCCCAGGATGTGATCCATGAGATTGTTAATTTTGAGAAGAAGTGTATTGATGTGTGCAAAGTTGCTTGGTCTTCTTCTGGTTTGAAACATTTTGAAAATTTTTCATAAATTTCCTCAATTTTTGGTGGAAGGATTTCTCTTAGGGGTCCAAACCAATTCCACCAGTGGGAAAACCAATTTGGAAATTTGTATTTGTTGCCGTATTTGAAAAACATCAACCATGAATGTCGATGATTTTTTATTGTTATACAAAAAAGTATTGAACCATGCCTGCTGGTAATCCCAGTAATTGAAAATAGGGCAATGGTTAATTGTGTTTGAAAAGTTTGCTGGAAATCTTTTGGAAAGATTTAAATTTTCACCCCAATCAATCGGCCTTAAAACTTTTAAAATTTGTGCCGTTGAGTGAGTGATAAGAGTTGGATCTTTTGGATCAGCATATTGTTTAAAAAGAGCTGACCCTGTTTGAATCAAAATGTTTTGGTAAAAAGTTTGAGATTTTTGCAAATCCCATGGTTTGTAATGCCAACCTTGGAAGGCTTTTCTGATAGCAATGTGGGGTAGTTCTTGGTATAGTCCTTCCTCTATTAAGAGAACATTTTGGGTATTCTTTTTTCTGAAATATTGGGTTTGGCTACCGGAGGTAGATGTTTGGGATTGTGTTGGAGTAGGGTTTGGTCGGGAAGACGCTTTGTAGGTCCAAAATTGTATAAAAGAGGCCTCATCCCCACAAAATATTATGACAGAACCTCAGAAGGTTTAAAAACAGCTAATGGTGGAAAACTAAAAATAACCTACAAAATATCAAATGCTGAAATAATTAATCAAGGAATAAGATTTCGAACACCATTTTTAGTGGTAAAAGACATAACCCAAGACATTATTTTAGGAACACCATTTATATCTATGTTAAAACCTTACAAGGTTAAACATCAAGAAATAACTACAAAAATATTAAAAACTAAAATCAGATTTCCTTTTATAGAAAAACCCAGAATCAAAAATCTTAACTTATTAAAAAGATTTTCAGTACAGAAAATAAATTCATTAATACATTACAGAGAAAATCAAATTCAATACTTAAAAGATGAAATTACTTTTGAAAAAATAAATCAACAACTACAACAACATGAAAATATACAGAAAATAAATAACCAAATATTACAGAATTATTATAAATTCATGGAAAAACATAAAATATTGATAGATTTCTTTGAATGGTTTGAACAATTTGAGCAACCCCAATTAAACACTTTAAAGAATACAACAAGATGGCAAACAAATAAAGGAGAAATTGAATCAAAATATCCCCCTCTTACAGAAATCCAATATTCTCATAAAAATATAGGAAATATATATATATATATATATTTTTTACTTTTCTGTTAATGGTATTAAGTTTTTTAAGATGAAATATCTATTTTTTAAATTAATAATTTTTTATATAATTTTGATCAAAATTTTAAAATATTTAAATATTTTAACTTAAAATTTTATATAAAATATAACATTAAAACTATAGTCAGTGTTTAGATTGTTTCATCTATCGCGTCTCACTTGGACAATAGAATCTTTGCCTTGTGAATAACTTTGTTACAAAAATCATTTTAATTAAATAGATAATAAAAATTATACCTATTTACTTTTATCTTAACACAAATAACTAAAATTTTTTTTCATAAATCTTACATATCAATTTACACAATAGTGTATAATTATAATAATTTAAAATAAAATAAAACTTTTTAATACTAATTTTGATATATCAAATTCTATATAATTTTCAAAAGTATATAAAATAAAATAGAAGTTTGAACTTTCAAAATACAACACAAATATTCAAATTTAATTATTTTTAAATGTATGAATACACATATATAAAAAATATAAAAAATTATTTATAATAATAATTTAAGCAAGATGAGAGGGGGCATTAATATAGTATAACTGCCTCGCCTTGCTTATCAAATAGAATATGACAAATTCCACCCATATCATTGTAATTTTATTTTTTTTTTCATATGATAATTTGTAATTTTTCTCTCAATTAATAATTTGTGAATTTTTTTACTAATTAGTAAATTCTATGAATAATTTCTATTTTCACAAAAATTAAATTATTAATTTTACTCAACAAAATCATAAAAATGTCTTCAATGCCAATTTAGATTGCTTATTTAATACTTTTGTAATTATCCTATGCGAATTAATAATTTAATCTCTCGTGGAAACAAGAATTATCAACAATATGCTAATCGAAAAAAAAATCCATAAAATGTTAATTGAAAAAAATTACAAGGATAAAACAATGTAAAAAAGACAAAAAATGGTTTGAAAGGATATACAAAAATAATAATAATTTTAATGGAATTGTTTAATAAGAAGTTTACCTATAAAACAATTCGCTCTTGTTTTTTTTTCTTTTTTTTTCAAAAAAATAAACCAACACATTCGAGAGCAGATCAATGTGAAATTCACAAGAGAAATCAAATTTTATCATCTTTAATTACAGAAATTTATTAATAAAATTAAAAAAATACCCTCACGAATGTATATAAAATATAATTTTTTTAAAAATAAATACTATGCTATTATTTTAAAATAACACCTTAATATAAGTAATGTGTAGACTATATAGAAGTTGCTAGTTAAAAAGGGCGGTTTTGTTCCTTTTGGTTGAAGATTCAGAGTTTTGGTGTTAAAACTTAAAAGGGATAAAGACAAAAAAACCTTTTATAAAATAATAAACTTTTATTGGATAAAAAGTGCAACGACAGCCTTGGAATGTTGGTGTTACAACAGAGTTACATGGAAAAGGCAAATTGAGCGCCTTCCACGACGGGATTTGAATTATTAGAGAACTGTTTTAGTGTTTGGGACAACAGACAACAATGTGTGCGTACAATAGAATTGCTATGCGAAGTAGAGGTATCAAAAAAATGGGATTTTCAGTCCACAAGCACGTTACAACATTGTCGTCCCACTATCCTCCTCCGTTTCTTATCATCTTCACTTGACTGCAATTGCAAACAACAAAACTTCACATTAGCTTTTCTTTCCCCAAACCCTTTACTATTTTCTCCAAAAGTTTGAATTATCAATCCAAGTGTGGCGTTCGCTGTCACTAAAACAAAACCAATTTTGGTTTGGGTCCAGCAATGCAACAAGGATTTCTTTTATATCGGATAACCAGAATAATTTCATTTGCTTAATATCTCTTAACTTAATGACATAGCAGGTCAGAAGAAAACTAACGTCATATGTACAGCAATGTTCAGAATGGTGTAATAATAATACTCCATTCCCATCTCAACTATACCTGTTGACTGAGAAAATTTGGTGCACGAACCCTCTTAGAGCCATCAGCTAGACGCTTACATGGAAAATGATTTTCCACAGAGGCCAAGTTATCACTGACCTGTCAAATGTTTTCAAAGATTAAACAAGAGCAAAACCTATTGATAAGGGCAACTGATTTCAACCCCCCAAAAATTGGATAAAGCATACCACATGAGTGCTTTAACAAGTGTAAAATGGAGTGCAAAGATATTGGTATTACCTGGCCTTCAATGGCCCCAATTAACAACTCCTGACATCCCGATGCATGAACGTTTTGTAAACTTGGGCATTGAAGTAGCAATCTCTCTGAGGAAAACACACAATTCTATTAAATAAATCGCAAGGAAAGATGAGCATATGTAAATGACAATGTTCAAACTAGCAAATTCCATACCTGGATGCAAGTTTTTACAGGAGTTTAAATTAAGGTCATTGAGTTCTGGACAGTTTAAACATAAAGCCTGCATTGACATTCACAAATAAGAACCACAAGAGAATATTAAGAAAAAACTAGCAATACAATCAAGATTATGGACTAAAAGATCTCACATCTAAGCCAGAACAACCCCACAAACTGAGTTTTTTTAATCGGCTGTGTTTGATAATAAGCTTCTGGTACATAAGGTGCAATTTGCGATTAAATGCATTTGGAAGTTCATTGTTGCCACTTTCATCACTGGGTGAATTCTGGGAATTGGGATCACATATGGTCATCCCGCAATCCATAAGTTCAAGAAGGGGTAGTTGAGCTGTGGCAAACTGAATTCCACCTGAGAAATGCAGACAAAAATATTAATGAATAGATTTACATAAAATAGGACAATTATAGGTAAATATATATAGGTGAGAGTCTTGGACATGAAGATTACTTGAAGTGATGTTAGGACAAAGAGCAAGGAGGAGTCTTGACAAAGTGTTCGGGAACACATTGCAGATCATTCCAATGCCACTGTCACTGATGCTAGACCTGAAACCAAGCAGCAAGCATTAGGAAAATTGGTTCTGAGGATTAATTGAAAAGAATTCTGAGGATTAATTGAAAAGAAAACCAATCATTTAGATCCAGCCCAGATAAATAGATTAATTTAGCCGAGCTGGAGCAAAACATACCCACTCAGATCAAGTAATTCTAATCTTGAATAGCTTGAAGCAATAGCAGCAACAGATGCATCAGTGATTTCTGAGCCAAGAACAAGTGAAAGCATTCGCAGGCCCCTGAATAATGGACGATTGTTATTAAACTAGTGATTCATCAATCCTCCCAATACTCAAAACACAACAATGATAGAAAACTGAACAAAGCAAGACCAATTAAGCACTAGTACTCTTAAGAAAGCAAACAAGCATTACATGCTATGTTCTTAGATTCATATACGATACTTGATAAAATGAACTTGTAGATCAAAAGATCAACAAACCTCAAGTTTGAGGCCGTAAGGGAAAGCACAACAGCATGAGAAAGACGAACTGATGCAATGTGAATATTTTGCAACCTTGGACAACATCTTCCCATACCATCAACCATGGTAGAAAGATCAGTAGTATCATTTTCTAGGCGAGAAAATTCTAAGGACATCTCTTTCAAATTGGGACAGTTAAAAACCTACAAAAGGTGGCACATGTAAACATAAATTCACTGTAAATGCCCCAGATGGTTAACGTAGAAGAAATAAGGACTTTATGAAAATGTTACCGTCTTAGAGAGTGAATAAAGATCAGAAAGCCAGAGTGTCGATAGACTTGATGAAGAAAGGACAAAGCCCCCTAAATTAGAACATCCTTCCATCTTAAGGCTCATTAGGCAGCGTTTATCGGCAACAAAACGACCCAATTCATCTCTATACATTAAAATTGAAGGAAAGTTAATATGGCACTTTTTAACTTGTGCCCAGTTACCAAGCAATTACAAATGAAGCAGGGTATGAGACAAAAGAAAACAATAACATTAACCTTACAAGATACAATAGTACCAAATAGTTTGAGCTCCAAAACAGGGGCAACAATATTGAATGCCTTCCATCATAAACAGGAATTTAAGCACATGAGAGCCCAAAATAACAAAGAGAAAGCTCTGGATGATATAAAAGACATGAGTCGGACCAAGAAATCTATAACAGGGCGCACATAACTTCATAACTTTTTCATGTGATTACATCTAAATTAGAAGGACAAAAATGAAAAAAGAGTGATCAAAGGCCGCTCAACTAGAAACATCTACTATTGCACCCTAATTTTAGCCTCTTATAGATTTATTGAAGACTCAAGAGACTGATAAACTTCAATCAATTAGCTTAGATCTAAAGCAATTCATCCATCAACAAAATCAAGGGTGGACAATCCAACAGTAACAAAGTTTATTAACTGAGCAACTAGGCATACCATTTACAAGATCTATCTATAGATTACAAAAATAAAAAGGCGAGATAATAAATCATATACCCTGTGATCCGATTGACAGCTGTATCCGATGTGGAAATCTCCATGGACTCCAAATTAGGGCAGGAAAACGCAATGCAGGCCAGCATCGTTGCATCCACATCACTGCAAAACCCAAACAAGAAAATTAGTAAAAGAAAAAAAAAAAGTCTAAAAGTACCATTGACCCCCACGCCCCAAATTCCCCAAAAAGGATGCAGAAAACTAAACCATTTTCAAGTTCTTGCAATTAAATAAACTGTTAGGACGTGTCTCTTCAAGTGATTATAGATCTTAAAATTCTCCGGTCTAAAATTTTTGTTGGAAAGCCAATCCAACCCCCTTGTCAATTATTGCATTGATTTTACCTTCCAATTATAGGGAAAATTTTATTGGAATGCTGCCCAGAGAACACTATTACAACAGTGCTTAGATGGAAAACACTTTGGAAGTTCTCGTGGCGCTCCTGATTGTAGATCAATTTCCATTTCACTTTACTGATTATTTTCCTTTAAATTATAACCAGTTTAAATTCACATTTTATAATTTTATCTTGATCTCCTTTGGTACCAACCGATCCAGGCCATAAAACCCTAGATCTGCCTAAGATTAGTTTAGACCCGAACCTTTCCATTTTAAGAGAAAGCCTAACAAGGCTCGGGCATTTCTGCAAAACCGATCCAATGAACCCGAGCTGAGCCCTGGGTGGGACCCTAAGTCTCAGCTCCTCCGCAGCCCTCCACAGTCTCTTCGTCGTTTCCCTCCACCCTTTACACACCTCGCCGCCGCCATCAGCCCCGCCGGCGGCAATCTCCTCAGAACCTCCCACAACATCCCGCAGGTAACCCTCCGGTGACTATCTCATTATCCGGATCCAGATCCGTACCCAGACAGGGAGAATCGCAGCCATCTAAATCGAGTTCCGGCGAGTCGCAGCGGATGTCGATGTCGTCAAAGGAAAGAGCACGTCGGAGGTGGGAGTAGGGCTGACGTGGGGGATGATGCGGAGGACGGGCTGCCGAGGAGGAAGCGTCGGTGATAGTTGTGGTGGCAAGAGTTGATGTTGGGGTGGAAGTTAAAGTGGGAGTGCTACCAGTATTGATAACTTGGCAAACATGACCTTTCTTTGGAAGTCCACATCTGCCACAGTTGTAACTGCCGCGGCGTTTGGCGGGTTTGAGGTCAAACGCGGCAGCGGCTGCAGCTGCTGCACTGCCGTGGAGGCGGATGAAGAAATGTGGGGCTGTGGGTGGTGCATGGTCTTTGGCAACGGAGACAGATATGAGATATGATTGAAATGAGAAGAGAGAGGGAGGGAGGGAGGGAGGGAGGGGATCTGGGTGAGAGGGAGAGAGGTGGAAAATAAAGGGAGGAGAGTTTGGTCGGGAAGGGGCGGGGAATGGCAAGTTTTCGCGCCTCATTTCGAAACCTGAAAAAAAAAAAAAAAGAGGACAGAGAGGAGCGTGGGTTTATGATGTTTATTTACTGTTTTACCCTTCTCTTTGGTGGGTCAGTAGCACTGTCTGACTGGCACTGGAAAACGTTAAACAAATAAAATAAAGAGGATTAGACGATGCTTTTTCTTTAATGTTTTCCTTTGTGTTTTTTCACATCCGAAAATATTTCCCGTTATGGCTATATGCTGGAAAATTGGACAAATTTAAGTAGTAATAGCGATTTTAGAATTTATTATTGGGGCTGTGGAGAAATTATTTCATTTTCACACGGTAAACCAGGAGAACAAAATCAGGGTGGGATTATTGTAATTAATAAAAATTTTAACTTTAGCTAAATAAATTGAAATATGGCGTTTTAATAGTGATGATGCAAAAGGCGCCAATGCGTCCGCTATCAGCCTTTTTCCCTTTAAACTAAATTTTTGGAGGTAAATTGCTCCAATCTTCAAGCCATAACAAGAAGCACGCAAATATACAAATTTGCCACTCACCGTGAAGAAGGGAGTTTTTGCCGACGATATAAACATACTATTTTGAATCCTAAAACTCTTTACCACTAAAAGAAACTAATTTATATGTGCGTTTTATTATCAAAAATCATATAAGATTTATGTTCCCAATCATAGATTAAACCAATTATGTAAGGACTCTGGCTTATGTGGAAGGTCTGAATGCAAACTGCAGATTTGACTTAAATAATTGCCGCTAATAAATGTGTAGGCGTATGAGTTGGGTGGGAGAGACACATGAGTAAAACACTGCCGCCCAATTCAACTTTTTCATGCATTGGTCTATTCTCAAGTAGTCGTACCAATTTGTTTGCATGCCAATGCAAATGTTGTAAATTAATGAAAATTATGTAACTTAAATCTAAGCAACTTCCACTTGTTATTTGCTGAAAGTAGATGAGCATCCAAACATCTTTCTAATGATACTACTCCATTCATTTCGATAAAAGGATTATCCGATACTATGTATTTAAGTAATATAATATAAACAAATAATAATTGAAAAAAATTATAATTTCTTTAAAAATTTAAATAAATTTTTATTTTGCATTCAATCAAATCCTTTTATTTTTATTTTAAATTAAATAGACTTTCCTACAATATCTAATCCAAGATTCCACATAAAGAGTGACTAAAAGATCATGAATCGGGTTAATGATTCAATTCAAAACAAATATGAATCACTTTTACAATAGAATTAACTTATAACATGAAACCCTGCCACAACCTTTGGTCTGTCCTTGCTTTTATAAGAATGAGTACAAGGTTAAGAGATGAAAGTCGATTGATTAGGTTAATATTCTAAAGGAACTCAATTTAGTCGACTGATTGTTTTTTCTAACCAAATTAATTGAGTCAACTGAATATTTACCCTTAGACTCTTATGACTACCTCTTGATTAAGTGTCATTAATTAAAAATCACTTATCATTTTATACTAACATGACATTGACGTAGAAGATAAAAAATATCATATGGTTATATCGTTATATCATGTCAATGTACCACATCATCATTTATTATAATATATTAGTTTGTCAAATTAGCATCACATGATATAAAATTGCAAGTTCAATCCCTAGATCCATGTGTGAATATTAGAACACTAAAAGCATCAATTATTTATTGTATACCTATTTGATTCATAAAAGTAGCTATTACTCGCAGCAAAAAAACAGAAATTTCCTGAGACTAGATCTTTCTCTTCGCACTTCTCTATTATTTGTGACGACTCTTAATGGAAGATACTGTTAGGTTAGAAGGGAAGAAAAGACCTAGCCATATATATATAATAAATAAAACCCTAATACAAGCCTCCTTATTAAGGACGTATTAGGCCAAAGCTTACATAACCGCCAAACCACACTAACCCTAATTGTTTCTCTACCTCAATTTTGAAAATTTTAAATTTTTCATAAGCATCAGACTTTTCATCTATTAAGTAGAACTAACCATAATGAGAGAAGTCATTAATAAAGGTAACAAAATACTTGTTACCACACAAGGTGGGTGTAAGAGGGCCACTAATATCTGTTCGCACAATTTCCAGAAGGTCCTTGCTACGAGTTGCCCTTTTTTTCTTAGTCTTAATTATTTTACCCATAATGCGATTTACCCAGTGTCTAACTTTTTAAAATGAAGATTAGGTAAAATGCCATCTTTTATCAATTGCTTAACTTCCTTATTAGAAATGTGACCCAAAGTTTTATGCCACAATAGGGAAAAGTTTTCTTTAATGAGATCTTTTAGATACAACATTTTCAACATTTATCCAACTATATTCATTATTAGGGATTAAGCACAATTTATATAAATTATCAACTAGCTTAAACTCTCCAATGACTTTAAAATTTAAAAGCAAGTAAACTTTTCTATCACCAATGCCAAAATAATAATCAAGTTTATCTATAACAAAAACTGAAATCAAATTTTCCCTAAATGTACATGAAAAAATATTTTCTAGAACAAGTCCAAAACTAGACTCTAATTTTAAACCTATGGTTCCTACATGACTGACATCTACTTTAGCATTGTTTCCAACTTTAAACTTGGCCTCTCTATCACTTGGCTTTCGTTTACTTTTGAACCCTTGCAGTGTAACAATAACACAAACAGTTGCACTACTATCAAGCCACCACGAATTTGGTGGTGCATTAACAAAAGAGGATTAAAAACAAACTAGATCTAGTGACTTACCTCTTGTTTATTCTTTTTCTCTAACCAAGACTTATACTCGTAGCACTTGTGTCCCATGTGACCTTTGACCTTTCTTCTTGCAAGAAAATCACCTAACCTCTTTCCTTGTGGCAACTTTAAGACCTCCTACCCCTTTAGTCTGACCATTACCATACCCTTTATTGTCCTACTTAGGAGAATTTATGGGTTTCCTACAATTTTTCTAGTATTATGGTTTGGAATTGGTAGTAAATAAGGCACTTTCACCCTTTTCTTTCTTAGTTTTTTCTTCTTCAAAGACACACTTAGAAATAAGGTCATTAACACTCGAAACCTTATTTATAACATTATAGGCAGTTATGATTTAGGCAAACTCAATAGGTAAAGAATTAAAAGTATGCAAACACATTTGATTTACTCCATCCCATTTAGTAAAGGACTCTTTTTCCTCAATAGAGCTCTTGTCACTAAGGGCATAGGCTTATCAATACACAAGGCTATGTCTATTTAACTCATAACCAAGGCAAAAGAATTTCATCTCTTAAAGTTAGACCCATTAAGAGTATCAATAGTAGTTTGATTATTATTCACGGTAAAGGTTACTGTTTAAGACAAAAAATGCAACTATTAGTTAATTGGGCAATAATGAAATAATTAACAATAGTCTATAATATGCTAAAAGAAAATAATCGAAAAGTCCAGGTGCAACATCGCAGATTTCCCTTTGGGCAAAGAATATGACATGCTAATAGGCACTCATCCTATAAAATGAATATGAGAATATTCTAGTCTTTGAAAAGCCTATCCTCTTTAGACATATAGACTTTCTAAACCGATATACTCTCAAACATGATGCTTTATGTCGCACTCTAAATTGTTCCAAACAATAATCCCTTTTGGGCAGATGATTGTATAAAGTAATTTAAAAAATCATATCGTAACATTTTGTTTAAGAAAATAATCCATTAATTTCAATAAACGAGCCACTTCGGCAACCAAATACTTACATCAATTAATAAAAAAAAATCTTAAGTCAAGAATTAATTATTTGCCCAAATTTCTTAATTTGCATACTCAACCCAATGTATGTAATTGACTGTTTTTGTTGAGATACTAAGCCTAGGTGTATCTCATTTGGTCTCAAATAGTATTTTTTGTAATAAAACTTAAAGTCTTGAACTTTATTTAAAAAAAATAAATACAATATATTCTCTAAATGATGTATATAATTTCAACTCGAGAGTATACAAATTTAAAGACTAATCTAAGAAGAGTACATAGAGCCATTCAACTCAAACATATGTATATTATTTTTCTATCACATGCATTTTAGAAATATTTCATCAAAAATATTCAGAATAATTAATTAAATGTATACAAAAATAAATAAACATTAAATATGTATTAAAAATTCAAAAAAATAGTACAATATGTAAACTTGGGCAAGTGGAGATGAACTTACAAAAAATATTTTAAAAATCATGGACCTAATGGGCCCTTACGAGCCTTACACTCCACACTTCAGAGTGAGCTTCGTTGCCCAACAGAATTTTCTATTTCTTCAACTTTTAATTGGGTCAAATTCAACCCATTTGAATCTTTATTCTTATTTTTCTAAAATTTTTAGCTTTTCAAGTATTTTTGATGAAATTGACCTTTCTAAATCTTCATTGGGACTTTGTTCTATAATGCCTATGCATTAAAACTCATCAAAAACTACAAAACCAAGATCAATTAATCAAGAATATTAATTGTCAAACCCATTCTTAACTTGTTTTAAGTTTTTTTCAAAATTGGTTACAATACACTTATATTTTATATAATTAAATTTAGTTATTAACTCTATAACATATGTAAGTTGATTTTAAGAGTTCAACATATAAAATATAAGTGATTAATCAAGAACTAGATTTTGAGTTTTATGTTCAAGTCCAAAACTTACTATCTAACTCCTATCTTTACAGTACGAGTTAAGCAAAAAAAAAAAAATTTATACAAAATTAATCTATACATTGTAAGGGATAAAAGCCCTAGCTTTATGTCCAAAAATGATAACCTGAAAATAAATTTTCAACAATAAAAAATAAGAATGCCCCAACATATAATTTTACAAAATAA